ACCCCCATTCCAGGAATATTTGTCATTCTTCATAGAAGGGTAACTGAAGAAATATACGAACTAACACTTTGCTCTTGGTGCCGTTATGGAATGTGAACTGAGCCCACATTGGATGGTAAGTCTCGGCTATGACCTTGTCTTTATTTTACTAGTTGTCGCGACCGAAATGAGTAGCAACAACATTATTGCAATCATTGTATGCTCTGAAAATTATTTCTGACAGTATGACATGTAGAATTGAAGGAACCATTGAATTGGCCTACAAGTAACGGCTTTTTTCTCTCTCGAAATCTGGCGCTGAAGGTGAAAGGTTTCGCTATTCGTTTTCAAATAGTTTTGCAGAGAACTCCTTGTCTTATAAGATAATCTTCTTGGTTCTCTCAGAAATTCTGTTCCCACTATTTCCAAGCGCTCAAACTAAAGTGTCAGGTCGACGAAACCGCACATTTTTGACAGCCTCTCTTTTCTAGTTCTGATTAGAAAGCTGTAACCGCATCAAGTGTATGGCCAATAGGCTATGTTCTTTAGAAATGCTTACAACGGTTAAAGCGATGAAAGGATTTCAATTTCGACGTCATAGACGAGAATCGAACCTAATCCCTATTGAGCCCAACTGGGAGCTTACTGATCACTTTATCCATGGAGACTCATGTTAAAGAATGGGGAATCGTTAGAGACATGGAATGCTTCTTCACCATTATCAAGCATCACTCTCAGCTGATGTAAGACGTTCGAAAGTTGGTGGATAGGTAGGCAGTCCCTCGCTAAGGGACCCTCCCCCTCATGCGACACGCTTCTACAAGGTCTCATTAATATCACAGTTTCTGAGCTCTTTTGTAATCTAAGAGCCTAGATTAAGTGCAAAAAGTTGTTGCCAAAAAATCAAAGTTGCGTCGACTCCTCACTCCATTTCAATGGAATAAAAATCGTTAAACCTAATAAACAGTAGGAAGTCAATTATACTACAGTAATGCAGAAAATCATCTATCAAATAGCGTAGATTGTATTAGACACGATTCTCACTTTTCATATTGAACTAATAGTGTGTAAGAAAAAAAACGCCAGTACTTAAGGGCCAACCCAGCACGTAATACGTAACACTTCCGTTACATGTTGAACAAAATGGAACAATGAGGAATTTGAGTTCCTCCGTACTCCTGTGATATAGCCCATAACTCGAAAGCCCCGCTAGAATTTCGGGCTCGAATCGCCTTGGAAGAAGCATTTTGCTAGTTCCCTTCGATGAATGACCTTACGTGAACCCTTGCAATACTAAGGCGGCATGATGAGACAAAAGGAAGTTCATGTTATTTCTCAGCTTCATAGGTGCTTATAAGCTCAACGGTAAAAAACCTGAAATGCTCATCAGATTCTGAAAAAAGCGGTAGGCGCTGTGATTGTAGGGTGAATGCGTGAGTAGGCGCGAAGTATGACAGTGCGTTACGCGAGCGAGGAGCACTAGTATGAGGAGTGAGGGGAGGTCGATGGGCTTTGGGTTTGGTGAAGTTTTTTTTCGCAATAGTTTTTACTCTTGAGGTGTTGAATTAAGCAAAGCGGGCTGAAATAGGTGGCCGTGGAAGAGGAGGGATGTGCGTGAAGGGTGATGGTACACTTTGTTTTCCTGCGAAGAATGATGAACTTATGGCAAGGCAGATTACTGTGGACAACTCAAACGATGCTCGTTAGGATTACAGGACTCGCCAGTGTTTCCAGCCATCAGAACTGCCTTACTCTCGCTTGGCGGTTCTAGCAGTATACTTACAGTACGGCACCTTTTAGACATGGATAGTCGACCGTATCGTTAGCTATTGTAGCGAAGGCGCAGTAGAACGGGTACAAAGGCGGTTTAAGCGACTATGAGAATGAATTGAAATTTTGGTGGCTTGACGGGTCGACCTTGCTGAAGCGGATTCAAAACTTACGTTCTGAGTGGCAGGACATCTGCCGCATAATCCATAAACTGGACGGCGTACACGGTCCAATTGAGGGATTGCGACCTGAATAGTTATTCAACAATCGGAAAAAAATCAGGATATGTTCAACGTTTTGATGACAGGGATCACAAAAAATGAAGAAAATGAGACTCATAGCAGAATGAGGAGAATAGACCGAAAGGTGTCAATTTGAGTAGTATGGCTACTGTGGGCGACATAGACGAACTTATATTAATCTCGTTTGCAAGATGGTGTGGATGGGAGTTATGTCGTTGTGTGCGGTCCTTTGTCATAAGGGTATCAGTTTGAGATCTGGCATGTTTACTATGACTATGGTGAAGTAGCAGCAAGTGGCTCGGGCGCGTCTGGACTAAAACTTCAGCGTTTCGGGGTCGGATTTTGTTTTCAGTAGAATGGAAACACTCAACATGTCTTGCTTCGCCTTGAAATCTTCTGGATAAGCCAGGTCGTATAAAAATTTCACGACTCTGAGTGGCCATGCAGCCATGCATGCCCTCCACATTCCGCCGACGCGTTCCTGCGCACCTTATGTGATTGCTGCAGCATGCGTTTTTCTTAGGACTTTTCCACTTGGAACAACCGTCATCCTATCTTGTGCAGAGTAAAGCGTTATTGAAAATCCCAATACGGCAACATTTTACCAGAAACTCAGCTGCCACCACCTCCAAATAAACTACGCAGCCGCGTGCTCCCTGTTTCAGTGATATGGAGCGTAAATGAGAGCAGCAAGGGGAGGGGGGTGCGAGAGCGTTAATAGCGCGAGTGTCCAGACGAAAGGGATGTAGACAGGAATGTATAAGAGAAGACAGTCGGCACGGGAATGCACAACCGTCGTCCTGACGCCCCTCTTTCCTCTCCGATATGAAATAAAGCGATTGTTTCATCCGTGTAATGAAGTGGTCGTATTCGTGGGATCAACTTTTATACCTTCGATTCAGTAGGGATATCACTTCTACCATCGATGAAAATTCGTTCAGACTAGCCACTGGTCGGTTACTTCAGGTACTTTTTGAAAGAGATGGTTCTGCACGAGTTTGAATGGAACTGCTGAGAAACTCCTAAGTAAATCATTCCTAGAACAATCTTCAAGCTTCATGCTACCACCCGTGAAGGCAGCGCCCTCCTCAGATATCGTATGTAGCTTTGTCGACAAGGGTGGAGGATGTACTAATTTCGCAGCTCAAAAATACGAGAGGATGGCGCCACCCGCTTGTGAAGAGGATGCCGCCCGCCACCTGGCTGCCATAACTGCTTTGGCTTAGCCTTAAAGGCTGAGCCCGCTTTCAAGAATAATGAGTTATGGAGCTCATATAATACGTGATCCAGTAGTGAAGAAAAAAGCAGAAAAAAAATCATGGAAAATGCCCTATATAGAACCCTATGCTGGCCAGGTGGGCGGGGCGGCCGACTCTTCACTAGCGAACGGCGCTATCCTCTCGCCTTTTTGAGATGCAAAACTAGTACATACTGCATCCTCATAGGGAGGGCTATGATATCCAGAGAGGGCGCGGGAACATCAAATGAACGTGGGCGCTGCCTTTAAGTCCTCACCCTCCCGAAGAACCCATGTTGAGGGAGAAAGAGAGAGTGAGATATTTACAAGAAACGGGAAAACAAAAAAAAAAACGGCCAAAAACCTTCTCAGAAGCAGAGTAACCGCATAATTCGCTTCAGTGACCAAACACGACACTTTGCCATGGATTTTCAACATACTGGTGCCCGGAAGCATGCTTTATACTTCCCAAGTGCTGAACTTTGCGCGCTCGTTGTTCTGTCCCAACATCAGTAATCGAAGATTCGAGGAACGATTCTCATATAAACGATTTATTCCATTTACACACTGTAAAGCCGGTCAATCTACTCTATCAGCAGAGCCTGAGCGAAGATCATCTGCTCATCCTCTGGAGCCGCAATCGCCAAAACCACACATCACTGCGATTCTCATTCCCATCCTAGGCCGCTCTTTGTAGTAAACCTGGAAGCCTTGAATTCACAAATATGCAATTTTCAGGGAAAAGTTCCCCAGAACGAAGTTCCACTACGAGTCCATTCAATTACCACACATTGTTCCACCGCAGCTGGGCTTGAATATGCTCGAAAAGTTTATGCCGGCCAGCTGGGGAGCCAGCGTACCCTAGCGCAAATGTGCCAATAGACCGTTCAATCTGTTACGGAACAAGCCCCATACAGTCGTTTCCAGTGCAGACGCTCTTTCCAGTGAGGGTGGAAGGGGAGGGTGGATTTGGCGTCGCGCCAAGTCGTTTCCCATCAATTCAAAGCAGAAAAAGGAGAACAATCGGTAGGAAAAGGGCTGGCGCCGCGCTAAACTAACCCCTTCTCCCTGCGTTCCAGCGTCTGTAGCGAAAATGACCACAGAATAGGCGCCCGAGAATGGCATTCTAGGAGATGAACCTATCCTATGATCGTATTTCCAATCATTTGCGCGATTTTTCCCTGACCACGTCGGGAGGGGGGGGGAGGAGGGGAGGCGAGATGCATCACTTCACACCAACGTTGGAAAATCTGCCTGCTCTTGGGAAGTGGGTGTTGGATGAACTATGAAAGCTATGCTCAGGCGCAATCTTATATGTGTTACGCATTACCAGAAGTATTGAAAAAAAGAGAAAAATTGTATCCTTACCGTATAGTCGAGCATTCCTTGACCTTCGATAAATGCCGATGTCTCGCCAATCGGCTTCACTCCAGGCTCGGGGTACTCCTTGTACGATTTCAGTACAGTGGGCTTCAGATTACAAGCTGCACCCACGATGTATAGGGTGTAGTTCTGATTGTTTTCGGTGAATTCGTACCTAAAACAGAAGACGTATCGAGTAATCCCTCCAAACGATAGGGCGTGTGATGGGGCGTGGATTGATATCAAGCGATCTCTTGCACAGATGGTGCTCCAAGACATTTAGCGCCCGCAATAACTGACAGAAGGAAAACATCTAGCAGCGCCCCAATTTATGCCCCTTCAGGCGTCTCACTGATTGCAAGGCTCATGTTCATGATTTGTTTTATATCAATCTTATATTTGTTTTCCATTAGGAATCCTAGTATCCGCTTGAAAAAAGCAACTCGTGGCCTTTTCAATCACCTGTAAACGCTTCTATAACAATTTTCTATAAAACTCAATTCGTCAAAAAACATCAAAATGTCTAAAAGGGGGGGGGGGGATAAAAGGGAGCGTGGCCGAGGGGCGGAGCAGAAACCAATACTTCCGAAATGCCTTTTCTGTGTAGACTACATATATCTGTGAAAAGTTAATTGAATCGGATGTCGGCGAATAATGTTATCAAGTGACGTAGTTTTCAGTAAATCCATTGATAAGTGGGCGGAGTCGTCGGGGGCGGGATCACATGTACTACATAGTAGAAGTGTATTCAAGGGTTCATGTGTGTATGAGAAGAAAAATGTGAAAAACTATTATAGATGCAGTATATAGTGTAAAATGTGTTCACTGTGAGTGTAGATTGTATCGCGGCAAAAAGGGGCGGAGTTATCTGGGGCGGGGCATGTAATGTAATGTAATGTGTGCAGAAAATGTGTGTGATGGGCTCTCGCGCAAAATTGGCAAAAAAGCCGATTCGAGGAGGAAAAAATCATTGAAATTAGATGATCACATAAGCGAGATAAGCGATGTTGGCCCAGAGGAAGGGGAGGGAGGGGACGGCTAAGTGCTTTTGCTAGCTCTTTTTCTTCCTCTTAACCGAAACGTTGAAATGAGACCTGTAAAGTCTTGATATAATGTGAGGAGAGAAAGTGAGCTCTGTTACAAGATTTTGCAGTCATTCAGAAGTTGCACAAGCTTCAATGAGTGTCATTTGGTGTCTCCACGAAGCCTAACTGCCAATGTACTCTGCCGGTCTCCACAAACATGGTTTTCGTTACACTTTGGCTCGATCGTTTCGTTCAGTACAGAAAGAGAGGTCCTTTGAGCCAAGGGCATGGACCAGTGTACATTGTACAAGCTCCAATGCCAACAGCTGGCCTGACCCTTTCTCTCACAAACCAGCATTTACTTCACGAGCAAGTCAGAAAAGCTTAGAAAAGGCAAATGATTTAGGAATGTTCACGATATATTGGGTTGTTCGGAAAGAAATGCGCGTTGAATTTGTCCATTATTTATCTTCTACTATAGAAGATTTTTTAGAACAGTTTTGTCTATTAGAAAGAGATTGGCCGAGAGAAAGTTCACAAACCGCGAAGAAGTCCAACTCTGGGTGTCCAACTACTTTGAGTCGCAGCCGGCCGAGTTCTTCGAAAAGAGGAATCCATTCTCTTGCATAAACGTTGTGCACTGCAGGCGCAGACATAGATTTTCAACACATGACTCGTTTCGACTCCGCCCATTCTTTAAAGTTTGTTGCGTGAGTTCAACTCTTGATAACTTTTCAATTTTTGATTTCACATCCACTCTTCGCACAGCGAAGGTACACGTAGACGCGCATTCATGCACCGGCAATTTAGGCTCTGTCCCCTTGGCCACGCCCACTTGCTTTTTGCGGAATTTAATATTTTTTCAAAACCTTTTGCATTTCTGGACTGCTCCATGAAGCACCCGCCCACTGTGAGAGGCTCCGCCCACTTTGAAGAAGCCCGCCCACTTTTCAAAAATGGTGCAAATCGGCAGTATAGAGCCTGGCTTGCATGGCAAGGGTATTGCTGGTCATTCGGAACAAACTTTGCCTGATTTATTTGTTCCGAGTGACCTTGGCTTGCATGCTAGGGTCTCGTTCATCACTCGGAACAAATAAATCAGGCAAAGTTTGTTCCGAATGACCAGCAATACCCTTGCCATGCAAGCCAAGGCTCTATACTGCCGATT